CTGGTTTTCATAAAAACAGTGTTAAAATGTGTGAAACTTGAAAAAACCCACAGAATTCCATATGTACAAACGAATATAAAGGGCATATATGTGAAGTTTGGGGAATAGGAACACTGGCATGCTAACCACTACACTAAAGAGAAGACTCCCGAACCTCTACAGCCCTGTGTGCGCCCCTCCCTTGGTGGCTTCCCCACTCTCTTCCTGAATTTCAGTGTTCACCATTCCCTGAGTTTCCTTCCTGATCTCACCACACAAGCATGTATCACTAAATGACAGAAGTGGAATCATATTTCATGGTTTTTCCTCACTTCCTCTTTCCTTAACCAGTTTTCTTTGTGGGACCGACCCTGGTTGATACACATAGCCCTAGGTCACTTATTTTTCAATACTGAAAAGTTTTTGTTTAATAGTGAAATTTCAGTAACTCACTGGACAGGTTGAACAGCTGATTAGACACACGTAAAGGGAATGAGTAAATACAAATAGTAATTTGAATTAAGAAATTGCCTAGAATGCCTCAAAAAGAGGTACAGAGAGAAAAATGAAAGGAAGGTTAAGAAACATGGAGGATAGAATGAAAAGTTCCAACGGAGGTCCAGTAGGAGTTCGAGAAGAAAAAAAGAAGAGAAGAAAAGGAGGGAGAATTGGTATTCAGAGAAATAATGGCCAAAATTTTCCAGACTGGATAAAAGCCATAAATGCTCATATTCAGTCCTGAGAAGGGTAAATTCAATCTACCTCTAGGTACAACTTAGTAAAATTGCAAAACACCAAAAACAAAAACAAAAAACTTAAAATTAACTGTAGGCAAAAAATAATTACAAGTTAGAGGGATAGCAGACTTTAGCAGACTTAACAGTAGAAGCCAGGAGACTATGGAATAATATCATCAAAGTGCTAAGGAAAAACAGCTTTTAACCAGGAGTTCCATATCAGTTAACCTACTTTTCAAGAGTGGTGTCAAAATGCACTTTCAAACAGAGACTTTGCTGAATACTAATGGATGTGTCTCAGAAAGAAGGAAGTTGTACCAAGAAGAAAGGAGGATATAAAAAATAGTAATGGTGAATAAATTGGTTAAGTATGGATAAATAAGTTTTGACTGTATGAAAAGAAGAAAGGTTAGTGACTTCACTTCAAGTGGTTAGAAAACAAAGCAGAGTAATTTAAAAGGAAATGAAGGAAGAAAATAATAATAATAAGAGGAGGGGCACCTGGGTGGCTCAGTTGGTTAAATGTCAGACTCTTGATTTCCACTCAGGTCTTCATCACAGGGTCCTGGGATCCAGCCCAATGTCTGTCTCTGTGCTGGACCTGGAGTCTCCTTGAGAGTCTCTCTCTCTCTCCCTCTGCCTGCCCTCCCACACTCACGCATGCGCATGCTTTCCCCCCAAAGTAAATAAATAATTAAAAAATAAAAAGAAGAGCAGAATTTAGTGAAGTAGGAAATAAAGAAAAATCAACAAAACCAAAAGTTGGTCCTTTGAAAACACTAATAAACAAGACAAGCTATATAGGACTGATCAAAAAAGAAAGAAAAGGTACAAATACAAATATTTGGGATGAAAAAGAAGACATACTATGAAAATTTTTGTGCCACGATATTTGAAAGGGTAGATAAAATGAAAATTTTTCCCGAAAGGGCCAAGAATATCAAAGACAATTTGGAAGAAAAAAAGAAAAGGAGGGGAAGGCGAGGGAACAAAGGTGTTCACTTATCAGATTTTAAGACTACTATAAAGTTATAGTTTATAGCATGGTAAAGGCACAAGGCTGGGCAAATCAGTGAAACATAGCATAGATCTTAAAAAGATGAATATCTATGAAAATTTTGTGTGTGAGTGAAATAACACAAGTTAGCGGGGCAAGAGTTCATTAAATGGCGGTGGTGAAATTGGTTCATCTTAAGAATAAAAGATGAAAGTAGATTTTCTGTGTCACACACAATATACCAAAAATAAATCCTAAATAGATTAAAGAACCACATGTGAAAAGCAAAATTTGAGAACTTTTAGAATAAAATACAGGACAGTATCTTTAGCAATTGAGGGTGGGAAAGAATTTATAAACAAGAAAGGAAAGGCACCAATCTTAAAAGATTAGTATTTCATCTCAACATTAACCAACAAAAGATTGGCATCCCACAAATCAATTAAAAAGATGGCAGAAAAATAGACAAAAGGTAAAGATCGGTAGTTTACAAAGAAAGGTGAATGATTCCAGAGGAGAGAAAAAGAAAAAAACTGTGCAGCTTCACCAAATAGAAAAATGAAAAACTAAAACCACATTGAGATACCATGTCACACTCATCTGTCTGGCACTACCAAGACTTGGTAAGAATGTGGAGCAATGAGTTGAGAGTGTGAATCTTTATATCTACTTTGGTGAATAATTTGGCAATATCCAGGAAAATTGAAGGTAACTCATAGCCATGAGTGTAATTCATGCATATATACATGTATAATATCTTATGTGTTCCTTTAAGAAACTCTTACCATGTACACAGACTCCTTTGTTTGTAATTGCAAAGAAAACAGTGGTAACAATCAAAATGTCCCTTAGCGGGAGCCTGGATAAATAAATTTTGGCATGTTTATGGATTGAAATATTTTATAGACCCTACATGAATGGACTAGGTTTATCTTTCTATTGAATGTTCCTTCATCCTGGTTTAATGTTTGCGGTAAATGTTAATATTGTTCACCAGCCATTCCCCTTTCTTCTCCTGGGCACACAACAGGGTTGCACTTTCCCACCCCCTTGAAGTTAGGCAAGGCCCTGTGACTTGCCGTGGTCACCCGAACCGTGAGAGAGGTGATGTGTGTTACTTTGGGGGATGGGTCTTAAGAACCAGGACTCAGCTCTCTTTCTTCTCCTTGTTACTGTAACTGAGGAAATTCATATGAATACAAAGCCTCTGTCACTCGTGCCCTTGGCTGATACAGTGAGCAGAACCACTTTTCTGATCATCACTGAATACATAGGGTGCACAAAAAAATAAATACATAAATACATAAACAAACGTGCACTGTGGAAGGGAGAATGGGAGCTGTTACTGCAGCCTAAGCTCCTATCTACAGTATTATTTTATGTCTCAGTTCAATTTACCGTGCACCTTGTGCCACTTCCTTAAGTTCCACCTTCCAAATCACCCAGTACTTCCCCTTTTCCATGAAATAGAGGTACCATGACTTAGCCTCCAAATATAGTCCTTCCTTGTCTTTCCAAGTCCTGGGGAACTTCTTTCTGAGCCCCTTCCTTCTCTGCCAGGAAACTGTCCTTAGAGGTTATTTCACTAGTGTGTTTGCTTGTTGCTTTGGAGTTAAGCTTGGTAGTCAAGGGATTCATCACCAGAAATCCGTCCTCTCTCCCTTTCACCTTCCCCTTCTCCCTTTTTTATCTGTGGATGGCTTCCTCATTTGCAGAGAGCAAAGCAGTTAGTGAAGCTGTAGAAGAGGAAGGCTCAAGTCAGGCATGCCCAGCTTTGGAAAATAAATACATTGTGTAGAAGATACATGTAAGACTATGTACTGCACATCATTATCAAGGTAGAAATGTTTTGGCCTGGCAGTAGTAGGGCTCACCCTCTCTCTTCAGAGAGTGTATAATATTATACTGAAAAGTACAGTATATATCTAATGAGAAATTGTCTTTTTTTCCAACCTATTTTAAAATTATATAAAGTAAGTTGCAAATCTTGAAGGTAAGTAGCTGGGCCTAATTGTAGATTTGGGTTGAATAATAAATTAAATTAAAACCCCAACACTGGAAAATGCACAGAAAAGTCCCAGGGGACTTAAAAGGCCCTTACCTTTTATTATTCTCTTCTCCATGGTTAGAGAATCTGCATCATTTTTAGATAGCTATCATTTTGTGGAAGCCCTTGGCTTTTAAAAAATGAACAGGTTGCTATGGATTTGAAGTAGAGAGAGAGACTCAGAATCAAAACGGAGCTGGTGTTTCAAAATATAGCAAGTCATGAACAAAGAGAAAAGCCTTCTGTGTTGAAATGCCTGGAATAGTAAACAAACAAACAAAAAAGGGAAACAAGTCATGGCTGAGGGCAACAATGTATTTTGAAAAGGGATTGGTACCATTTCCTAGGTCATCTTCCTGCTTTATGAATTCTAAAACACTGAATCTACATGTATATCATGTTTCTCTAAACAAATTTATGATATTTACCAAATGTAACAAGTACATGCAGTTTAGAGAACAATAATAAAACAAGCGCCTATGTACCCACCACCTGGCTTAAAAACAGAACAAAACCAGTACTTTTGAAGCCCCCCCCCCCGCAAGATTTCCATTTGGAAATGAAATCAGTTAATATTTGGACCCATTGGTGGGAGTCCCTGCAAGATTTCAGCCCCCTCTTCCCAGACACATTATCCTGAACTTTATATAATCATTCCCTGGATTTCCTTTTTAGTTTTACATTTATGTATGTATCCCCTAAACAAAGCATATTTCTAGTTCTGCCTTTTTAAAAACTTTGTATAAATGAACTCATAATCTGTGTTTTTCTGTGCCTTGCTTTTTTCCCTCAACATTATGTGTTTTTCTTGTTTTTTGGGTTTTTGGTTTTTTGGAAGTCAAGATTTTTTTTTCTTGGGAAAACAACATTATCGTTTTCGATTCATCTATTTGTACATAGCTGTAGTTCATTAAGGTCAGATAATGTGTAGTTTCCCATTGTAGTAATATTTTGAAATGTATTTGTCCATTCTGTATTTTATGGGGTATCATGGTTCTTAATAGTAAAATACTTCAGAGTTAATTAGTACATGTGGTTTGATTTGTTCCAATCTTAGATTCAACTTTTTTTCTTGAAGCAATTTGGCATGGAAAATGTGTTCATGTCTTGAGATAATCAAGATGTTCTAATTTCCCCTTTGTCATGGATGTGAGCTAGTAATTCATTTTGTTCATAGCACACTATCAGGATATGTTTGGCTTCCCTTATCTTGATGCTGAATCTTGTGTTGGGCTCACAGTTCCCATGGAGAATGTTGCAACGATTGCTGATTGTGCCAGTGTGATTGAAGGAGTCAGTCGGAGCCGAAATGCCTTGCTGAATGGCGACACCAAGAATTATGACTGGGATTCTGGCTATACGTGTCATCAGCTGGGAAGTGGTGCGATTGTGGTTCAGCTGGCACAGCCGTACATGATCGGGTCAATACGGTAAGAAGATTCCTTTTCAGTCATTACTTTTAAAATGGAAGACACATGTGCAAATTCTGTTTTGGAACTTCAGTGAAGATACATTTCTGTTCTTTGCTCTAAATATTGAAGGGGGAGGAACAAGGAGATACAGGGTGCTTGTTTGGATCTTCTGGTGGGGAGGATCCACCAAAATTAGACTTGCAGCGAGACTAGATTAGAGGCCTCTCCCTGGTTGTGGCTCACCTCCTTCTTCAGTCTCAGTTTGTGTTGGCTGGGGACTTAGAGGATAATGTCAGGAGAGGTTATATAGAACCAAAACTAATTTTCAACTCCAGTAAATTTACATCGGAACCAAATATGTGAATATGAGACCTGGTACTAACAAAAGAAAGCTTCTTAATGAAAATCTGGGTTTTGGTGGTTTTCATTTCGTTTTGTCTTGTTTTCAGAAAAGAATTTTAATCCAACATTGCTTGATTTATGGGGTCATGTAATTTTAAAATGTGAGACTGGTGACATCCCCCAGAGGATATACTTGTAGTTCAAGAGAGCCATGTGGGTATTGAATAGGCTGCCCTTTTTTTTTGCTTTTTTTCTGAAGGTTCCAAGGAGGTCTCTGAAAGGCTAATGTATATATATTTATGTTATATATTTATGTTTAACAGTAGATAAGGTATTTTACATGCTATCTGAGACTGCCAGGGGTGGGGATATCGGTGGGACGTGACTGCCTTCCCCCCACCATCATGTTCTACCACATTTGCTCGTTGTTCCCTGTTCTCAGGTTAAAATCATTGTGTATAGAGAGAAAAAGCACAAACAATGAGGTAGTAGGATTTTAATAGGCAAAGGTTTATTGATGTTTAGGCTAATAATCACAGAGGTTATTGTGGCCTGGCAGTCCCCAGGGGCCACCCTGATGAGTGATGTTGGATTTCTGGGAGAATTCAGACTATGGATTTCTTCATTTAAATTGTCAACCCCTTTTCATAAAGGGCCACATATGGGTTGAGTAACATAGGCAACCCATCACACAGATAGAGAAGCCTTGGCTTCATGCTGTGGACCAGACAAACCAGCTTGGTGCTTCAGGAGGGGGAAAGAGAAGCCACAGTCAGTCTGGGTAAGCTACCAGTGCAGATAAACCTCCGTCAGATAGCAAACAAGATTCCATCCTTCCTTTTTTCTCAGCTGCGTGCATTAACTAGAGCAGTCCTAGGCCATCTATTTAAGCCGTTCTAGAATTTTTGCCATAGATGGTATGAAATTTATCTAAATATTTCCCATTATAGTCTCTCCCTCTTTACTTTACAAATCTGGGGAACCGTTGTCCTTCTCCTGTGACTGGCACTCCCTATAGTCTTCACAGTTTCTTGAAGATTACCAATCGTGTCTCTGAGATTACATCTGCAATTTCTTTCAGCAGGCGTGGAGTGTAACTCACTGGAGCCAGGAGACTTGGAATCCTTTAAATTGACTAGATACTCTCTTTCTTTCACTTCACCTATTTGGGGCTTCAATTTTCTCTTTATTATGTTTGTTCTGCCATTTCTAATTTGAACACCAGTCTTTTCGTCAATGAAGATGGAAGCAAACTGACAGCTTAGTAGCTCTTCCCACTCTCTTTTAATGTTCCCTGTATTCTGTCTGCTTACCTGGTACTCTACCCCCAACACCAACAGTGTTACATGTGCATCTCACATCAACATGTCAGAAATGGAATCCCATTATCCCCCCTTCCTCTGCTCAAGTCACCTTAAGATTTCCCCCATTTCATTCAGTGGCACCACCCATCTGTCCATAGACTGAGCCACAAACATGGCAGTCTTCCCGAATTTACCTCTCTCCCTCACCTCCCCTCCTCAGCCAGTTCTGTCAGTACTGGCTCTTACATATCTCACAAAGCCTTCTGCTCTTCCCCATCCCCACTGCCATTACTACAGTTGTACCTTTGTAGTTTCTCTTCTCCATCTGGTCGGCCAGACTTCCATCTAGCCCGTCCTTCCCCACCTGCAGCCGTTTCCCCACCCCAGATCTGATGTGGTCACGCCCCTTTAGGAGAAAATTCGGACAAAGGCATTTAAGAACAATCTGACTTGCTTCTGTCTACACAGCCTCGTCACCTGCTCCTCTATCCACCCCTACACGTGCCTGGCTTAGCCTGTCCAGTTACTTGCAGTTTTGCGCACGCCACCCCTCTCTCACCTCTATGCCTTCAACTCTTGGAACCTACTGTTCTCATTGCTGGTGTCTCTCACGACCTTCCCATCACCCCTTTCTTACCTGATTCTTACTCCCTCTTCAGGACTCCGCTCCTCCGGGAGTGCTTCCCTAACCTCCCGTTATCTCCTGGGCAGATTCAGACCTCCGTCTTCAGCGATCCCCACACATTCTGTACGTAGTTCCTACTGGAGCATTTGTCGTACTTGTATTGTAGTCGTTTACATGCTATCTTCTCCCAGCCTCCCCTGCCATATAAAGCCTGTGGCAACTCAGAATAAGCGTCCCTTGACAGATCAAATGTGTAGATGAGGTAGTCTGTCAAGATAGCAAGTACAGTAGGAGACGTAGAATTTTAGATTCAGCAGGAACACATGAGGTCACCGCCAAGGTGACAACTCAGAGTGGAACAAACAGGCTCTTTGTGTGGCCAGGCCACCTTGACCGCTAGCTCTACCCAAACAATCATAGATATTCAATCTGACCCTACGAAAAGGTGTCACTGGGGCTTAAAGCAAGAGAAAACAGTGAACACTTGGCTGTCTTTAAATATGGAATGAAAATGGCTCCCCCAAACTATTTTTTCTTTCCGGGACTCCAAGTGGCGGTAATGAGCATGAGCACAACCAAAGGCAGAATTGTATATCTCAGCCGCCAAACTTCCTTAAGCCCAGCTATTGTTTTTGCAGTGAGAAAATCCATGCAATTGAAGCCCTGTATAACTGGCTGAGCACTCAAAGAGACACGTCTCTGTGAAACTAACATTATGTTGTCAGGATCTGCATTTGCCTCTTCTGTGACATTATTAAGAAGAAAGGGAGAGGGATTTCTTAACCACCAATGCCTGTGGACAATGCTGGATACCCTGGCAGGCCGTGGTTAGCAGCTGCTGATGTGCCCAGACAGACATTTATTGATAGGAAACTGGATCAGTGGCACCTCTTCATGGGGATGGGTAATTGACCAATGACAGGATGATTAGTCAGTGACATTTGACCCACAGCTTCTATTGCTTGTGATGACTGACTTGTTTTCCTAGTCACTGTATCTGAAAAAGCTCAATGATTCTGAATTGACACCCAGAGGGAGAGTGCTACAGAGCTGAATGACTAACAATTTCCCCATCTAAGAGGCGGGAGATCTGACAATCCCGGAAACTCTTCCTCTGTGGAAGCCCAATCACGTGGTACACTGGCTTTATTTATTTATTTTTTAAGATTTTATTTATTTATTTGAGAGAGAGAGAATGAGAGACAGCATGAGAGAGAGGAGGGTCAGAGGGAGAAGCAGACTCCCTGCTGAGCAGGGAGCCCAATGTGGGACTCGATCCCGGGACTCCAGGATCATGACCTGAGCCAAAGGCAGTCGCTTAACCAACTGAGCCACCCAGGCACCCCGGTACACTGGCTTTAAAAAATTCGTAGATGGTGACTACGAAGTCAAAGGACTCAGACAGGAATTGTCTTGATCACTGCAGTCTTTTTTCCTAAGGGAGGATATAATTGTTTTGTGGGTAAAGATGTCTTTTGTCTGTTTTCATCCACAGAAATCATTTCTTCCTTTCCCGAGGCTTTACCTGTAGCCGGGTAGGCAAGCAGAGCCTTCTTCCTTGACAGACAATGCTTGCACCTAACCACAGTCCGCGGGTGCCTAATCCTGCAAGTGTGTACTGTACTAGTCCCCTTGTGGTGTTCTGGAGAGGCTGACCTTGAAACATGACCCCTGACCATCCCTCCCCTCCCCCCCCCATTTTCTTTCACTCAGTTAATAAACATTTCTTGAGCCTTCTACTGTGTGCCAGGCACCGTTCTAAGCACCAGGGATAGAGCATTGAATAAAGAATTGAGTAAAGAATAAAGAAAACAAACATCGGCACTGTCATAGAGTTCATGTTCTCGTCAGGGGGAGATAAACAGTAAACAACACTGTAACATGTCAGATTCTTCGAAGGGCTGCAGAACAAACTGGAAGTGGGGGGTTGGGGGTAGAGACGGTGCTATTTTAGACGCAGTGGTCAGGGAAGGCCTGTGCAGAGCCTGAAGGAGGGGAAGAGCAAGCCATCTGGGGACCTAGGGGATGAGCATCACAGGCAGAGTACCAAGGCCCCAAGGGGGAGCATGCCTGGCAGGTGACAGGAGCAGTGAGGAGGCCAGTGTGGCTGGAGCTGGGTGAAGGGGGCGGCGAGCAGGAGGCAAGGTGAGGGAGGTGACTTAGAGAGTCGACAGCCCTGAGATTTGTTGCTATTTCTATATTCAGTCACCACCTTCCAGAACCATCCCACCCACCACCACACGTCCCTCCCAGCATTTCATTAGCACCATTAGAGGAGAGTTTTCTTGGCTGAGGAGAAGAGGGGCCGGGCGGGGGGAGACCGCCATGCCTTCAGAAGCGCCTTCGTTGCTTCTGACCTGCCTTTATCCCAGCTCCTGGAAGAGAAACTGCAGAGGCATCCAGTCTGGCATTGCAGCCTGGCAGGAAACTTGCTCCCCAGCTCTTTCTTTCCTTTCTCTCTCCCAAGAGCCGGAGCAGGCCGTGTAACTGGGAAATAAAGAAGCTTGGCTTTGTTGTTGCTAGGTTTACAGGCACAGGCAAAGTTATTCATTGTATATGAGAGAAAAAGAGAGAAATTGTCTGGAATATACCTTACAAGTGGGGAACTGAGTAGTAATTATATCATTTTTGTGCCGCTTTAAAACATTAAAATTTAAATAACAGGAAATCTTCAGAGGCCTGACCACATAAAAAGACCAGGGTAAAGTCATAATAACTAACCAAATCTACCTAATGTCTTAGTTTAT